GTTCGTTTTGCGAGCAATTCTTCGCACTATAAAATACCTCGCTTACAAGTTTGCACAGCAAACTTAGGGTCCTTTAGCTACTGACTTGGGTCTGGGATGGTTCACTGGCTCTTCGCTTCCACTTTGCCATAGCGAACATTCGCTGCTTGTCCGCCCAATGAACTTGTTGCCCTTTTCTTATTGCCATCTTTCTGAGATGGTTTGCTGGGACTTCACCTTGAGTTCCCATGATGAGCATTTGTTGGCTGTTCGCACAGCGAACATGCTGAAATTCTTCTCTTTCTTTGGTTTCCTTGTCCAAATGCTTGTGTCTTAAAATGTAATGGTTTTATGCCTAATTCCTGCACAATAAAACACAAATCAAAGCAACAAAACATATTTTCACAATATTGAAGAATAGCATGATATCATGGAGTAAATCCAATAAAACAACACAAAAGAGTTGAAAAATGTCAATAAATAAGGATCAAATGAAAGCATGTTTGGCGTTCAACAAGTTCCTATTCATATACTCCATGAATACACCTGGCGCATTAGACACACCGAATGACACCACTAAATGCTCATAGTTACCAAACTGAGTCCTAAACGCTATCTTCGGAATATCTTCTAGCTTCACATGAATATGATGACAACCCGATTGCAAATCAATCTTACTGGACACACTAGCACTTATTAACTGATCCATTAGATCATCAATTCTCGGAAGAGGATACTTATTATTGATAGTAACCTTATTCAACTTTAAATAGTCAACACACAACCTCATTCCACCATCTTTCTTCTTAGCCAACAACACAAGCGCTCCCCACGGTCAAACACTAGGTTGAACAAACTTCTTCTCAAGCAGATCCTCTATCTGTTTCTTCAACTTACTCAACTCTGAAGAAGACATTTTATAAGGTGTCATCAACACAGGATTAGTACCAGGTACTAAGTCTACGGAGAACTTAACCTCGCGCTCTGGCGGAAAATCACTAATATCATATGGAAACACCTCCATAAAGTTACACACAACTGGTAGATCACCAATCAAAGCTTTTCTTTCAGCCTTCAAAGAAGGAAATATCATCCTTCAAGGATTCCTCCACTTGATTAGCAGACATAAACATCATATCATCACTTTTTTCAAACTCTGGACACAACGTGGACTTGCCGAAACAATTAATATGAACACAGTTGAACTCCAACCAGTTCATTCCCAAGATAACATCAAGTTTACTTAACGGTAAGTAGACTAAGTCAATGCAAAAGTCCTTACCATAGATATTCAAAAGGCAACTCAAACAAATCCACGAAGTAGTCATCAAACCATTAGCTGGGGTATCAATGACCATACTTCCAACCATAGAAAGCACTTCAAGATTTAACTTTCTAGCACAATCAAAAGATATGAACGAATGCATCACACATGTGTCACTCACGGCAATAAGAGAAATACCATTAATAAACCACGTATCTCGAATCAAGTAATCATATCTAGTATAGTTCGTTCCACTCAAAGCAAAAACTTCCCCTTTAGGCTGAGTACTAATGTGACTTGGTTCTCCAAAGTTGAAGCAAGTTATAACATTGCTCTTACAATCAGCAATTCGATGCCCTGGCTTCCCACACTTGAAACATTTATGACCAGAACTCTTGCATTCATTAGCACGATGACCCAACCCTCTACAACTAAAACATCTGACAGAAGTAGGAGTGCCTCCCCCACTTGTCTCTTTTCCACCTGAATCCTTCCACTTCATTTTATCGGCTGGAGCCCCATAAGGTTTTTCACGATTTTAATTTCCACTTTTCTTTTCACTAATGCTCTTATAATGAGCAGATCTAACACGACTATCTTCATCCTAGATTCTACACTTATTAACCAACATAGAAAACTGACAAATCTCTTGATACTTGATGCATTTCTTAACCTTTGGGCGCAAGCCACTCTCAAACTTGATACACTTGGAACCCTTAGCTCCTACCCCATTGTAATGCAGGAAGAACCTATAAAACTCCTCAAACTTCATAGCATAATCAACAATCGTCATGTTTCCTTGTTTCAGATCAAGGAACTCGACCTCCTTCTTGCTACAGACATCAGCATGAAAGTACTTCTCAAAGATCTCAATTTTGAAAATTTCCCAAGTGATCTCAGTACCTGCAGCCTCAAGTCTCTGACGTTTATTGTCCCACCAATAATCTGCTTCATCTGCTAGCATATGAGTATCAAACAAGACCTTTTGCACGTCGATGCAAGCCATCACCCTAAGGATCTTCTCAATCTCTTGCAACCAAACCTGAGCACCCTCTGGGTCGCACGTCCCCTTAAAAGTCAGTAGATTGTTCCTCTGAGACTACTCAGCCCACGAAATTCATCTATCATCCCATATTGATTCTACAACGCATGATTTTCCTGATTCATCATGTGAGCCATAGCCTCTAAAGCATCAGCGATTGCACAATAATTTCTTCTAGCTATTTCTCTACACACCAATAAACAGCCAATAGAATAAACATTGTTAGCTTAGCATAGGATAAAAGTTGTCATTGGTTGGGGATAAGCCTGTAAGAATCTCAAGATCAAATTGTATTAAGGTTTGTGAGCACAACCTTCAAAATGTCAACGTTTATAGTAAAACTCTCAAGAAGACCTCTTGGGGACAGGACTAGGCCAACGTCCGGCCAAACCTATATAAATTTCTGGTGCAATCTCTCTAACCATATTCATTTAATTTCTACAGTTTACTTTTATTATTTTATTTCCGATGCATTTCACTTAACCAAAATTACTAATACAATCCTAATCAAGAAAAGTATAAAATTAATCACGAATTTTAAATACCACAATTCACCCTCAACCTCTCTCTTGTGCTTGAAGTCATTCAACATCTGAGGGGTTGTTAATCGTAATAACAACATTCACTACATAGCCTAAAGAGTACTCAAAGTGGAAGGAGTCTTAACCACTTTGAAGGCCACCTAATGATATCTATTGGCATTAGCTAGCTCAACTAAACGAAGTTCAGTGCAGGCCAATGCATAAGCTTTATAATAATCATTGGGACTGATCCAAGACACAACATTACGTTGCCTTAGGCATTCCAAATGATGCGCGATTTCAACATCGCTGGGTTCACAACCATTCATTTGCATATATAGTTGGACAAAGCTACTAGCGTGTTATCTTCTTTGATAAGAATCTTCTATTTCAGCCTCGGCCAAGAAAGAAGGAGGCAACGACTTCTCAGCAGAATTCTCACCCCCATTGTCTTTCTTTTAGAATAAAGCCTCTGAAGAAACTCTGGAAGGGACTTCGTCTAAAAGGGAATCTCCAGACATTTCCTCCGTTTCTGAATCACCAACCAGAGAGACGGTCTACGATTTAAAATCAGCACAGACAGAAGAAAAGGAATGTGATTTAGACTTCGTTTCCCCTATTAAAGAAGGAGAAATGTTTCTTTCTGAATCATTCTCTATGACAATAGGATTATCGCTCATCATTTCGGAAATACATTAAATGCTTGATTGAAAAGTTGAGATGACGAGAATGTACCTTGAAATATAAGGTCGAAGGCAGTAAATAAAAACATAAGTCCAAAAGTCGAAGCATTGAAGCTTTAGATGTATTGTAATGGTTACTCTTGTAAAAATGCTTTCAAAGAAGAAGGGGTGATTTAAAAGAAATAAGGGAAACTCAACCTACAAGATTGCGAAAAAATTTCTCCACATTTTCCCTATCCTTATATAGGCAAAGACAATATCAGACTGATTAGATTGAAATTAAGAAGCAAGTATGGATCAACGGTCAGATTTCACCTCGGGGACAACACCAAACTCAAGTACATTCAATTGCACAGTAAGCAATATCACATCACTCTCTGCCTTTTCAGGTCACATGTCAAGAAAAAAATAGTGAAACGTTTCAATGATGGATTTGCATTTAATGCGCACGTTCCCCATTATGCTTTGGCAAAACGAAAGCAGCACATGCCAACCGATGCTTGGACAGCTTTTCCCGAAGGTCGGTCATGACTACTAAAAGACTCCCCTGATATCCAGAATGCCTCGCGAGTCTTGGAGACAAGTGTTCTGCGTCGGCCAAAGGCCCAATAAAAGAAGACCCACTTATTCTACCCGCTTCATTGAACCCAATGTATAAATACCTTCATAAAGGGTTTTTTAGGTACACAATCTTTAATCTTCACTTTCACTACAATTATCTTAAACCCTAAACTGATCTACGGGTTGGAGTGTTAACCATGCATATACTCTCTCTGATCCGTTATATCGGAGATTAGCAATGTCAATTTAAGACCGATATCAATTGGTAACGTCAATTCAAGATCAATGTCTCAAATTCAAGAAGCAACTATGATACAACTAATCTTGTAATGCATCCAATATTAATTTTTAACTATTACACTGTCTTATAAAAGGACGAAATAAAAATTTAAAAAGGTGACGACAAATTGACAACAATCTTTGGAACTTCCGCTATGAACCAATGGTGCTTCTTATGAAATGAAACATTTAAGCGGCAATATATAATGTGCACTGATTCGTATCTTCAAAAGCATAATCCATTAATCTCAGTTTAATTAACAAACAAACTTCATCTCTTCTGCTTTCATTCTAGTATCTAGCATCTGAAAAAGTCGTTAATTATGTAATAAAATAATCATTCGTCTGACTTATTCTTAAGTCTAGAAGAAACCCAACTTATAATGCACGAATGAATGTCCTAGTTTGAAAAGTTCATAATTATCAACGTGTTGATGGATTCTTCAAACGTTACATTTAGCATGAAGCTGAATTGGTAAGAATCTAAAATAGAATATCTTATGATTCTAGCTTGGACTGATTGGATTTTGGACCCTTTGTTTATATATAAATTAAGACTTGATTAAGAGTAATTAATGAACTCAGTAATTTATTACAAGTCTTTTATTTTCATGCTCACTTCTGAGGTATATTAAAATTTCAAAGACTGCTAGTTTTTTTCAAAGAAAAAAATGGACACAGAAAGATCAATAGAAGACCAATTCTCCAAGCTACATCCCTCTTTACCAGAAAACACGAGAATCGGAATAATCGGTGCCGGTCCAAGTGGCTTATCAGCTGCTTATGCATTAGCCAGACTTGGTTATAAGAATGTTACAGTTTTGGAGAAGCATCACACAGTTGGTGGCATGTGTGAATCAGTAGAAATTGAAGGTATGTCATAGTTTAGCTTCACACTGTACCTGGTTCTAAATGGTTTCAAATCGCATAAAATGTGATCAATGTGATCACAATTGTGGTTGCAGTGTGCAATTTACAACTACGCATTTTGAATGTGTGCAAATGTCTATACAGGAAATGTTTATGATTTGGGAGGACAAGTTCTCGCTGCAAGCAGTGCTCCGGTCATCTTTCACTTGGCGAAAGAGACAGGTTCAGCCTTCGAAGAAATGGATTCTCACAAGCTTGCTGTTGTTGATCCTTCATCAGGAGAATATCATGATATTAAAGTTGCTGATGATTATGTATCTGTTATGTCACTTACATTGGAAATACAAGTTAGTGCCTACTCTCTCGTCAATTTTATAATCTTTCAAATATCAATCGGATCATACAGATTGTTTCATTGTTTGCTGACTTGAAATTCGAATGATGCTGTCGTTGATTGTTATCGTGATGTTGACAGGAAAAAGTGAAGAATTGTGGTCGAATTGGGGTTCATGCTGTTAGCGACATTGCTTCGGACTTAACTCCGGAGTATCTAGAGTGTCATGGACTCAAATCTGTTCCTAAATCTGTAGCTTATGGTTACACTGCTTCGGGGTATGGGTTTGTTCAAGACACGCCTTATGCATACCTTCATGAATTTACTCGAACGTCAATGGCTGGAAAAATTCGACGATTTAAAGGTGGATATACAAGTCTTTGGAAGAAGATTGCTGAATCACTTCCTTTGAGACTTATATGCAACACTGAAGTATTGTCAATCAAGCGATACTCAGACAGGGTCGTGGTTTGTATCAAGAACATAAATGTAGTTGACTCATTGGAATTCGATAAGATCATAATTTCTGGTTCATTTCCATTAAACTATGGAAAAATTTACGGATCGCCTTCTACTTTCATAGGTATGTAGACTTCTCAGCGATAAATATTTTTTTGTTTTTCTTTCTTTCTTCAGCGTGGTAACTTATTGAACAAGTCTTATAGCAGAATGCGAAAAAGAAGTAATGGATGCAACTGACCTTGAAAAGGATTTATTCAGCAAAGTCGAGACAAATGATTACTACACCACTGCTTTGAAGATCAAAGGGCTAGAACATTTTCCTATTGGATTTTATTATTTTAGTAAATATATGGAAGATCCCAGCACAATTGGAAATCCAGTAGCAATGCAGAAATTTTATGATGACAGTAATATATTCTTGTTCTGGTCCTATGGAAACTCGGTTGATATTAAGGGACCGACTGTCAAGGAGCTTGCAATGAAGACAGTAGAAGCAATGGGAGGAGAAGTCGAGAGTTTCATTCTTCAACGTTGCTTTAAATATTTTCCTCACGTTAGCAGCCAAGGTATTTAATGTACTTTAATTTTTTTTCGATTTCACTTTTCAAATCCATCTTTCAATTCCAAAACTCTAAATGCAGATATGAAAGAAGGATTCTATGAAAAGTTGGAGTCGGAGCTTCAAGGATCAAATCATACTTATTATGTAGGTGGGCTTATGGCATTTGAGCTTACAGAAAGGAACTCATCTTATGCCATGGCTCTAATTTGCAAGAACTTTGCCAATAGAAATGATTTGCCAACATTTCCTTACACTAAGGTAATTTATCATTTCTATATATTTTCTAGATCATAGATCGTTATAAAAGAGCGAGTGTTAGAGAGAATGTTGAAAAGAGAGTGTTATTAGCATTCTCTTTTCCAAATAGACCTGCACCTAATAGAAGTGTGCCTTATGCAGAATTTGTTTCCCTTACAAACTGAGCTACAAAAGAAGAACCCTAGAGAATTAGATGAATTGCCAGAAGTGAAATTTCCTAATTTGCCTACATTGAATAGCTACTTAAAGTACTGGGGGACTCATCCAATCACTCAAAATAGGACTCTTTATACATGGATTAATGAAGAAGGGAATCCGGTGAGCCGCAGGACCTTTGGAGAACAACATTTTTATTCTTCTTGTGTTGCTCATAAGCTCTTGACAAGCCAAAAGCCAGTTATCAAGCCCGGTGACCGAGTTCTCCTCATCTACATCCCCGGTTTAGATTTTGTAGATGCGTTCTTTGGATGCATAAGAGCTAAAGTCTTACCAGTTCCAATTATTCCCCCGGATCCTATGCAAAGAAGTGGACAGGCTTTAATGAAAATTGAAAGTGTTGCAAAATCATGTGGCATTGTCGCGATTTTGTCAACAAAAGCTTATCACTCAGCCGTCCGTGCAGGTTCATTGAAAAATTTACTATCACTGAAAAATGGGAAGTCATCCGGCTGTTGGCCAAATCTTCCGTGGTTGCATACTGATGCCTGGGTTAAGAATTCTAAGAACATTGTTTTGGAGCATCTTGATGATCAAAACGAACCACATCCTGACGATACATGTTTCTTGCAATTTACCTCGGGATCAACTGGTGATGCTAAAGGAGTCATGATATCTCATGGAGGACTAATTCATAATGTGAAGTTGATGCAAAGCAGATACAAAAGTACCTCGAGGACTAAACTGGTAAGTTGGCTTCCTCAGTATCATGATATGGGGCTTATTGGAGGACTCTTTACCTCTCTTGTTAGTGGTGGATCTGCGATTTTATTTTCACCAATGACATTTATCAAGAAGCCAATGTTATGGCTTGAAATCATCAGCAAGTATCAAGCAACTCATAGTGCCGGCCCTAACTTTGCCTTCGAGTTACTGATTCGAAGATTAGAGTCTGACAAGGATAAGATTCGGAACTTAGATCTTTCATCTTTGGTTTTTCTTATGGTTGCGGCTGAACCAGTGAGACAGAAGACCTTGAAAAGATTCATTGAATTAACAACTCCTTTCGGCTTATCTCAAAAGGTGATGGCTCCTGGATACGGCTTGGCAGAAAATTGTGTGTTTGTAAGCTGTGCATTTGGAGAAGGTAAGCCTATTATTGTTGATTGGCAGGGAAGAGTTTGTTGTGGGTATGTTTGTTCAGCGGATAAAGATATCGACATTAGAATTGTTGATCCAGACAGTTGCGAAGAGTTTCGTGAAGACGGGACGGAGGGAGAAATCTGGATTAGTAGTCCAAGTGCAGGAGTAGGATACTGGGGAAGGGAAGAATTGAGTCAGAAAACTTTCAGGAATGAACTTACAAATCATCCCGGACGTAACTACACTAGAACCGGAGACTTGGGACGAATAATAGATCAGAAGCTATTCATCACTGGAAGAATCAAGGATCTTATCATTGTTGCAGGAAGAAACATTTACTCATCTGACGTGGAAAAGACAATTGAGACTTCATCTGAATTTCTTCGTCCTGGTTGCTGTGCTGTCATTGGTGTCCCTGAGGAAATTCTATCAGCAAAAGGGATTTCCATTCCAGATGGCTCTGATCAGGTTGCCTTGGTTGTGATTGCAGAAGTAAGGGATGGTAAGCCAGTTAGCAAAGATGTGATCGACAACATAAAGATGCGTGTGGCAGAAGAACATGGAGTTAGTCTTGCTTCAGTCAAGTTGATAAAGCCTAGAACCATCAGCAAAACAACATCGGGAAAGATCAAGAGATTTGAATGTATCAAACAATTTACAGACGAGACACTGCACTTGGTACCTCTACGTACAAAACCTATGATGACAAAGAAATCTAAGGTATGGTCATTTACTACATCAACATGCAGAGCAGAAAAACCATTCCAGCTCCAGCTAGTAAAAAGTGCACCTGCAGATAGTAAGAGGATCAATAAAAATGACATTGTAGAGTTTCTGAAAGTTCTTATTTCTGAGCAGACTGGAGTACCAATCAACAACGTCTCAGTCACAGACAACCTCACATCCTACGGAATTGACTCAATTGGTGTCGTTAAAGCAACTAAGAAACTCTCAGATTTTCTTGGAACACCAGTTGCAGCTATTGATGTTTTCACTGCATCGTGCATCCTTGAATTGGCTAGCTTCTCAGAGGATCTTCTGTCAAAGACTCAGCCTCAGATAGTGAGAAGTATACCTGTCCCTGTTAAAAGGATCAACAAGAACGACATCGTAGAGTTTTTGAAAGTGCTTATCTCTGAGCAGACTGGAGTACCAATTGACAACGTCTCAATCACAGACAACCTGACATCGTATGGAATCGACTCAATTGGTGTGGTTAAAGCAACTCAAAAACTCTCAGATTTTCTTGGAACACCAGTTGCAGCAATAGATGTTTTCACTGCGTCATGCATTCAAGAATTGGCTAACTTCTCGGAAGATCTTCTATCAAAAACTCAGACTCAGCTTTCAAACAATCCATCCGAGGTTCTAGAAGTGGAAATTGATTCAACTGAATCAGTTGTGGAGGTGTCCAAGTCTCGCCAGTTGGGTATCCGTTTACTTCAATTCCTGGCTCTTATTTATATATCAATCATGCTGGCTTCTCCTGCCTATCTATCCGTAACTTCTTTTTTAAACTCCAGCCTGTGTGCCAATAAATCAGTAGCTGGAGTTCCTTGGTCAAATTACATAATTTCGCTGGTTTTTGCACCTCTTGCTTGGATACTTTGCATTGCTTCTACTTGCATTTGCATTTCAGTGTTTGGAAGTTCATTATTGGGTCTAAACTATGAACTTACCTCTGACATCTCCATCTATTCAATGGATTTTGTCAAGTGGTGGGCATTATATAAGACTCAAGAAATTTCCTCTAAAATTTTGGCAACACATCTCAGAGGAACAGTGTTTCTGAACTATTGGTTTGAGATGTTGGGTGCAAGAATTGGATCATCAGTTCTTCTTGACACAGTTGACATCACAGACCCGGCTCTGGTGTCAATCGGAGACGAAGTTGTTGTTGCAGAAGGTGTTTTGGTTCAAAGCCATGAGGTAAAGAAAGGAGTTCTAAGTCTCCACCCCATTAGGATTGGAAATTGTTCTTCTATTGGACCTTATGCTGTTGTTCAAAAAGGAAGTGTTGTTGGAGAAAGTGTTGAAGTACAGGCTTTGCAAAAGGTTGGCGGAGGTGAACATGTGCTAAAGCCAAATAACCTTGACAATATTGATAAGGTATGTTCTCTATAGCACTAACACCTCTGAAAAAATATGTGTATGTGTAAATGTCGGTGTTTGAAACCGACACCGATACTTGTGATTACGTTTAATTTATTCATTTTTTCGAATTATTACCAATGTTGACGTGTCAACGTTAGTGTCATGTTTCTGGTGTCTGTGCTTCATAGGTATGTTCCATTACACAATGCTTACAAAAATATGGTATATACTCAATTAAGTTGTTTATCCCAACAAAACTTATATCTACATCATAAATTAAAGACACAAGATAATTGAAGTTTGAACGATTAACTAATACCTTTAACATTTTTATTTCAGAATGCAGATCTTCCTGTTATTAACAGCAAAACTCAATATGATACCATCTACCACTTTATGGGGATCTATCTTGTTGGTTTTCTCTCATCACTTGCTGCAGCCATTACATATTTCTTATATATCAAATTCTCCAAGCATCCTCCATCACTCCAACACTTTTCATTTGTTTGCATATGCGGCGCTTTTCACTGGATCCCGTTTACCGTCATTGCATATGCTTCCATGTTCCATGATATCCCAACAAACCCCATCACCTTTGCCATTTCGTTTACCAGCGCCTACTTTCTTCATAGTCTCATGCTCATCACTCTCAGCGCAGTTCTTACTCGTCTTCTCATACTTAACCAAAACCAAACCGAATTCAAAACCTGGCTTCAATGCCGAATAAACATTTCTTGCCACCTTAGATGTGCTAAGCTTCTCTCTGGAACAGAAGCCTTCTGCGTATATTTACGCCTTATGGGAGCAAAAATTGGCAAGCATTGTTCCATTAGAGCCATCAACTCAGTTTCAAATCCAGAGTTAATGTCAATTGGCGCCGGAGTCCATCTCGGAGATTTTAGCAAAATGATTACAGGGTTTCATTCTTCCAACGGATACACTCGTGGAAAAATCGAAGTTCAAGATAACTCGGTTATTGGAAGTCAAAGCCTAATTCTCCCTGGTTCTCTCATCCAAAAGAATGTGATCCTTGGTGCACTTTCAATAGCTCCAATGAATTCTATACTCCAAGAGGGTGGTTTATATATCGGTTCACAATCCCATATAGCTAACTTAACTTCACCGTTGCACAAACAAGAATCACCAAAAGTAACTTTCACATTGACAAGGAAATGGTATCAAACCTTATCATCACTTTTCATTCAGCCATTTTTACAAACAGTTTTACCTCATATCTTATTAGGATTATCAATTTATGCTCCTTTGAACTTGGTTTTCCACCTAAAGAACACCAATAAAGTTCCAATCTTTTGGCTACTTCCTTTGATATGGATCCTCTCAGGTACTATGGCTGCATTAACATGTGTTATAGCCAAATGGGTTCTTATTGGAAGAAAGAAAAATGGCGAAAAAGTAGCTATATGGAGTAAAAGCATAATCTTGGATAGTACATGGCAAGCTATAAGAACATTAACTGGTGATTATTTCATGGAAATGACATGTGGGTCATTTATGTTTGTGAAATGGATGAAGATGATGGGTGTTGATGTAGACATGGATGATGGTGATGTTTATGTTGATAGCATGGGAGCATTGTTGAACCCTGAGATGGTTAAGATAGAGAGAGGTGGTTGTGTGGGAAAAGAAGCATTGTTGTTTGGACATATATATGAAGGCGATGAAGGGGGGATGGTGAAGTTTGGAGAGATTAAGGTTTGTGAAGATGGGTTTGTTGGGAGTAGGGCTATGGTTATGCCTGGTGTGAGATTGGAGAATGGGGCTAATGTTGGTGCTTTGTCACTTGTAATGAAAGGAGAAGTTGTTAGGTCAAGGTGAAAGTGTTGATAGTGTTTTGGTTATGTGTTGTGATATGTGGTTTGGAGTTTGAATAAATTCAACATTTCGTGTGAAATTTCACTCAAATTCCACATGTATGTTGATATGGTTGGATTGTGTTTGTAATATATAAAGCATAAGTGTTACTCAATCCAATTGAGTCGAAACTCTTTGTTATTAAATGAAATAGTAAATTCTTAGAGTGTGCATTTGCTCAATTCATTGGAATCACTGTCATTAAATGAATAGTAATGACATGAGATATATCAAACAAAACCAAGCAAATAATGTAACGGTCTAAAATGTATATTAAACGAGTATAGTTAAGTTAGTTCAAATGGTAGTTATGTAGGAACAACAAATGCAAAGACGTGGGTTTGAACCTATGACATGTTATTTTGTTCACCTTTAAAATGTGAATTCCAATTATTAAGCTACTTGATCAAAAATAAATAAATAAAACGTATATTAAACAAAAATGGAAAGATGAAAATAGAAATACGGAATGAGTGAAACCTTTCCAAGGGACATATTAACCCTCTCCTCTTCGAAATAGGGTTTTAGGTTCACGTCTTCTTCGTGCCTAGTGGTTGAAAGACCAATTTTCCGTCGAAAGTAGCAACCATCTCCTCATCTGAATAAAGGTATGCAAAGTCCTACACATTAACACATTTGCCACATTTTTCCTATTGAATCCTGATAAGATTCAGAAGAAACTAGAATGTTACTGATAAAGATATCAGGGTCATTATTTGTAGTTTCAAAAGGATAGAGAAAAATCAAGAGTGGGCCAACAAAATGTACCAGTAATATTGATAAAAAATTTGGAGGATATGTTTCGCACTAGTACAAACCCTTGGAAAATATATTGAGCAAAAATAGTGAAAAGGAATAAGAGGCACATTTTATAAGGGTAATTACAAGGAAAAATGACATATCCCTATCTGAGTATCTCAATAGTTGAAAGAAAGTGGAAAAATCTTTTGAATCTTACACACGCGCATGAAGTAAGGCTAAATTTTCCTTCCCTAGAAAGTCATTATTAGTTGTATTTAATGTGACACATGTTTCCTTAAGTAGTGTTTCAATATGTCTCAGTGAATTGGTGTTCCATTTTTTTCAGTAATGGACATTCGAATCCACATAGCTGACTCATAAATTGCATCTCTGACACCCAGGTACACATCATGGGCTCAACTACCCATGCAAGGCGACGTCTCATAAACATAGTCTCGCTTGAGGGACTCAATATAGTCTTGCTTAACGGGCCTCAATAAAGTCTCGTCAAAGGGACTCAATATAGGATCGCTCGAGGAAATTAAAAAAAAAAATTGTTAGAGGGACTCAACAAAGTCCCGTCTGAGGTATCAACGAAGTCTCACTAGAGGGACTCAACATAATCACATAAGAGGGAGTCAACGTAGTATCGTCAGAGGGACTCAACATGTATCACCTGAAGGAGGACCTGATTGGACTTCATTAGAAGATTTGTGTCAAATCCTCACCTAAATGTAGGGGTAAGCACCTCGATCAGGCTCCTCATAAGTTTTAAAGTTGAAGGGTTAAAACTAGTTGACGCCTAAGTTGCATCTCTAACACCCGGGTACACATCATGGGCTCAACTACCCATGCAAGGCAATCTCTCGTAAACATGGTCTCGCCTGACGGACTCAACAAAGTATTGACATATGGACTCAATATAGTCTTGCCTAAGGAACTCAACAAAGTCTCGTTAGAAGGAATCAATATAGTCTCGCCTGAGGAAATCAACAAAGTCTCATCAGAGGGACCCAACATAGTATCTCCTGAGGTACTCAAACAAGTCTCATCAGAGGAACTTAACATAGTCACATAAGAGGGAGTCAACATAGTATCGCCAAATGGGCTTAACATGTATCTCCTGAAGGGCCTGATTGGACTTTATCAAGGGATTTATGTTAAATCCTCACCTAAAGAAAATCTAGCCTTTATTGGGATTAAAAGACTTAAGCCTTTATGAGCCCTCGTGTTTGAGGGACTGTGTAGTAAAACAATTGAGAAAGACCTTTGGGTGAGGGTGAAGGACGTACACGTTGCCTTTATTGAGTTACCTCTATATTAGATCAGGCGCCCTTCATCTAGTTTGAACGACCATTGTCCATATCAGTCTCTCAACTTCCCATTCCTTTGTCTATTACGTTCCTTTGTGGGTGGAGTGTGTATTTGGTCAATAGTCAGTACCTAGGAAGTCGTGGGTTGAAACTATCTCTCCTAAATTTCTGGGTATTAATCACCCACGCCCGTGAGGGTTTCTATATTCTAGTGAGACTTGGTTCATTCAATCCAATGCCATTGGGAGGCTATAAATACACCAGGACCTTCATGCTAAAAAGGGATACCAATCTAAAATACACAAAAAAAACCACCCGTACATAGCTTCTCACTTCATTGTGTGGGTGTTAGCTCGTAAATTCGACGCCTGGTTTAAGTTAGTGGAATAAATAAAGGAAAGATAATTTTTGGGAAGTTATGGCAGACTTCGACAGCGAAATTATTTATGGAAGTCTAGTCGAAGTGACCCCTGTGCCAGAAGGAAGGATTTCTTGGACTTAGAGAAATTATATATGTTTGAAGGAGTAGTTTGACGAGAAGGCTACTGATGGCGTCTTCGATATAAAATTCGAATTTGAATAAAAGATGGAACTTTGTTCTTATTCAGTTCCAAGAGAAGACGTGTGGAGCATGATAGGAAAAATAGCAAGTGTACTATTCTGCCTATTGTAGTAATAATAGGGAAATCCCAAGTATCAATCTCAAGGACTACTTGACGATACAAAATTCTTGATCAATTTCAATTAAATAAAACCTTTGGGGGTTTTTGTTTTGTTTGGTAAAATTAGGGGTACAATTGTAATAAAAGAAAGTAGGTAAAATAGTTTAACATTATACAAATATGAATAGATTGCTAGAATTGGTGTATGATTCTTCATGCAACAACTTCGATTTATCAATGCAATAACACAATTCACAATAATTAATTTCTGGTTCTCTAGGGCATCCACTCCTAAGTCCTTAGTGAGAAGGTCTTTGATAACACAACCTAATTACTATGTCCATAGGCAATTACGGCTGCGACCAAGCATTCAGATAACAATAATATTCTGGTTACGATAAAGTATCCCTAGTCTTAGGTGATACTTATTATCATATGTTCTTACTCAGATCAATGAATAATAGCGACCCGACTTAAATTACTCATATAAATTCAAAATATGTTTTTCCGACGGTTAAAGCATTAAGAACATATATAAGAACAAACCAACGATTATGAAAATAAAATTGTCATTGCATCAAATAAAACGAATTCATTACATTCAAAATTAGGGATACCCCCTAGCAATGGGGGGGGGGGGGGGGGTAGCTATTCATAACAGAAAATAAAAACCAAGAAGAAAATGTTGTCATTATAGAAATCGGGAGGAATCAATCTTCAATAGTGAAACACTCTTAAAAAACGAATCCACTATGAAATCCTGAGTTCTCCAGCTTTCAAAACGCGTATTTTCTCTAAAAAATCGTCCAACCCTTGAAAAATCGTGTTCTAGAAATAAATAGTCAGCTTTTGGGCCTTCAACAATTTTGGGCTTATTATGCGTAATGCACAAGGTGTTACGCGTAATGCCTTCTTGACGTGCCAGATATCATACGTGTAAGTGTTGCACCCCAAAATTTGACCAACATTTCTTTACCTGGCTCATGTTGCATTTCATTCACATTAGCATTATCATTTGCATTTCATTGACATGTATGCAGGAAATCAAGAGGTATGAGTACCAATCAAGGGCTATGCAAGACCTTGAGGCTAGCTAAAAAGCTTATTCAAGTGTTCAAGTTTTGAAATCTTTGTCAGAGAAGTCAGAAGATTCTCAGAGAGAGTGGTTGAAACCAAGAGAGTGTGCCTCCTAACTTGAGAGTTGTGGGAAGCCATCAGATGATTCTGAAGCCATGAAGTTATACTTGAAGCCTTGAGAAAGCTTATGGGATGTCTTGAAAGCCATCATGGAGCCTAGATAGGTCATGGTGCAAGTTTAAGAAGACTCAGCCATGAGTGGTGTAATTAGGGTTTGACTGGGTCAACCCTAGGTCAACTGATGATTTGGAGAGGGTTGAGACCTAAACCAAGAGCCATGTGATCATGGATTGATGCATTGGGATGCTATAAGGATGATTCCAAGGTCCAATCATCAGGATTGAAGAGTTTGAGAAGTTTCAAGCTAGGGTTTCTAAGGCTTGACAGTGTAAAATCCCCTAGTTTGACCCCTATCTTCAAGGCAGTTTAGCTCAACATGTGATTGTCATCTCATTTTTCCCCCAACATGAATGTTTTAGAGATTGTTCTTAGCTTTAATTTGAGTACTAGAAGTCCTTTATAGGATTTGTAGAACTCAAGTTGTGACTTTGACAAGTTACAGGTCATCTGAGGTATGTGAATCTGAGGCCTTGAAAGTCACCCAACTTGCATCCAACATTTGCTCAAGAAGGATGATTCCTATGAAATTTTGGTCAACATGAATGTTGTTCCTTATCTTCTTAGATTTCTAGATAGTACTAGAAGTCCTTGATAGGATTTTTAGAACTCAAGTTATGGCTTTGACAAGTCAAGGGCATTTTGGTCATTTGGAGATTACAGGTCATTTCAACCATAAGGCCATAACTCCTATTTCCAAGCTTCAAATGGAAAAATCTTCAACATCAAACTTGTTCAAAATTATGTTTTAAGGCTAGTAAGGAGGTCATGAGATGATGGAAAGGCTTGTAACTCAAAGTTGCAAAAATGACCTAAAATAAAGGCATAAGTTAAATAAACCAAAGTTGGAAATTGATATTTTCAACCTACACATCCAAACCATGGCATGTAATATATCATTTTGACTCTAGAAAACATTTTAAAAATAATGGTTTAGCCACATTTTTGAGTTGAGATTCAATTTATGGACTTGCTTTGAAAAGTAATGACTTGC